AATTAGTGGAGCAAATAAAAATGGAGATATTTTAAAATCAAATTATTATTATAAAGGTAATAAAGCAGATTGTTAATTAACAAACTTAAAATCAGACTTGCAAAAATTCATATACATAAGACAATTATAGGGCAACAGACTCTTTTAGCACCAAAATAAATTGGGTTAGCATTTAAATTGTACTATCAAGAGTTGTACAATTGCCAGACCATACTTCTTCAACTTGAAGCTTATTTTCAAGACAAATCGTTTCCCTCTCTAAATGTACAGCAATTGGCGCAATTAAATGAACCTATAACATCAGAAGTTGTAAGTGCTATTAATAATAATCTCAAAAGAAATAAAGCCCCCAGGCCTGACGGTTATATCAAATTATTTTACAGAATACACAAAGATTAACTGAGCCCTCAACTTGCAGAAATGTATAATTTTATAATGGAGAAAGGATCTATGGCAAAAGAAATGTTAAAGGCAAATTTGTTCCCAATCCTTAAACAGGATAAAATCCTACAGAACTAATTAATTACCATCCTTAAGCATTACTCAATATTGATTATAAAATATATTCAACTATACTTGCTAAAAGAATCAAGAGAGTAGTTCCAAGCAGGGCCAGATTAAGAGCCCAGTGGGCCTGGTGCTGACAATTATGACTGGCCTAATTACAGAATCATATCGACCAAAAACAGTAAAACACTCCCAAGCGTCACGTATCTGATGGAGATGGTGCTGGAGAGATAGAAAACAGCAGCTATAAGAAAACACATACCCTAGGCTAATCTCTCTCTAATTTATGTTTTCATCTTTCAAGTAAATCCATAACCCCACAGCAGTGTCCAGTCAAGCAGGAAGGTAAAAGGTTGTGCCATTGACACAAATCACGTAACCTGCCAAAAGGGGCGAACATGCCCAAAAAGAGGACATGCATGAATGCATGTCAGGCTGCTTGCCAATCATGCAGCTGGCTAACTAAGGGCATACTATGCAGGCAGCACCCTGAGCTTGGCATAAATGCATCTAATGATGCGCTCACCCAACGCATTCTAAGGACTGTCCTCTAGCACTCGCTAGTCCACTTGTCTCCTTACCTTCTTAGTAGCAGGCAGAAGCTCCTGGTATATGGTCTGGGACAGAGAAAAGCTGTATGTAGTGAGTGTAGAAGAAAGGGAACATGCCACAGTGTTAGAGAGACCAAAGTCATCATTACCTGGTATTCTTGTGTATTTTGACCTTGGCTTTCCTACTGACTATCCGATTCTGTACTTCTTGAGCTTTGGCTTGGCTCCTGACTATTCTGACCTCTATATTCATCGACCTTTGGCTTGTTAATAGTTTCTGTGATTTCTGTGTTCTTGCCCACAGCCTGTCTTGTGGTTTTTCCTTTTTATACGTTAAATCCGGCCATTCTAAGGCCCGGTAATACGTTTTAGGGTTTTCTTTATCTTTACTTCAGTTCTGCGTGTTGGGCATTAGATTATCCTGACAGTCAGTAATACAGAAATATAGCACTATGTCCAATTACAAATTAAATATCGATAAAATATTGGCAATACCATTCTATTTGAACAAAAAAGAAATAAAACATCTTCATAGTAAGTTCAGTTTCAAATGGATAAAGAAAAAATATAGGTATTTAAAGATCAATATACCAGCTAATCCCAAGGATTTAATGAAGGTGAATTTTTTATCTCTCTTGAGAAAAACTAATCATCTCTTAAAAACATGGAAGTCTCTGGAAATATCTTGGTGGGGAAGGACCAATACTTCAAAGGCATATATTGCATCTAAATTTATATATCTTTTTAGAATGGTCCCCCTAAGGTCCCTACACCTTGGCTGAAGCTGATTCATACCGCCTTTTTAAAATATATTTATTTGGTTAAAAAAAAAAAAAACCTAGGATAGGGGCAAATTTATTAAACCTTAACAAGAAACAGGGAGGGATTGGGATGCCAAACATTGATCTATACTAGTGATGTGGGCACATGGCCAAAGGTTCACAATCTATGCAGAGTAGGCACCTTCCTGCCCAAAATGGCAGGCGCCTACTCTGCTTTCTTGTCGGCAGGACCGGAAGCAGGGGGGAGGCATCTAGGAAGCAGCTCTCCTATCCTCCTGCGAGCTGTGTGGAGCGGTGCCGCGCGTTATCATGGCAACGCTACACACAGCATTGCGCGGGAGGACAGGAGAGCTGCAGGACCTGTCCTCCTTTCCTACATACCACCACCGGACCACCAGGGATGGCTGTGTTCCCACCCTCCCCTTTACCAAAGGTAAGAAGAAGGGAGGGGGGAAACGGATTCAATATGCTTTAAAAGAAAAAGTGTTTTTAATGTATCTTTAACCCCCTACCCCCACACACACAGCACTCATACCCCCCCACACAGCACCCCTTCCCCCCATACAGCACCCCTACCCCCCACACACACAGCACCCCTACCCTCCACACACAGCACCCTACCCCACACACAGCAGCACCCCACAACCTCCCCTCCCCCACACACACAGCTCACCCCACACACAGCACCCTTACCACCCACACACAGCACCCCACCCCCACACACAGCACCACACACAGCATCACCCCCACACACACAGCACCCTACCCCACACACACACAGCAGCCCACCCCCACACACAGCACCCTACACACAGCACCCCACCCCCACACACAGCACCCCTACCCCCACACACAGCACCCCTCACACACAACACAGCACCTCACACACACACCCCTCACACACAGCACTCCACACCCTTACACATAAACACATACACTGCACCCCTCAATGAAGTGTATGTGTGTGTGTGTATATTTAGCAGTCTTTATGTATTCAGCAGTGTGTGTGTATTCAGCTGACTGTGTGTGTATTCAGCTGACTGCGTGTGTATTCAGCTGACTGCGTGTGTATTCAGCAGACTGTGTATTCAGCAGACTGTGTACTCAGCAGACTGTGTACTCAGCAGACTGTGTGTGTGTATGTATTCATCAGTGTGTGTATTCTGCAGTGTGTCTATTCATTGGACTGTGTATTCAACAGACTGTGTGTATGTTTGTGTGTGTGTATTTAGCGGACAGTGTGTGTATTTAGCGGACAGTGTGTGTATTTAGCGGACAGTGTGTGTATTTAGCAGACTGTGTGCGTGTTTGTGTGTGTGTATTTAGTGGACAGTGTGTGTATTTAGCAGATTGTGTGCGTGTTTGTGTGTGTGTATTTAGTGGACAGTGTGTGTATTTAGCAGTCTGTCTGTGTGTCGGTGTGTGTATGTATTAAGCAGTTGGTGTGTGAATGTGTTCAGCAGTCTGTGTGTATGTATTGCATTTGTTGAAGATACTAATAAATATAAGCTTAATTTTATCTATTTATATCATTATTTAAAATTTGTATCATTGAACTCTCTGTTGTGTTCTTCTTTTAAAACAAAAGATGTTAACTAGTTCGGACAACTGTGTGAGTTGTTTTTCTAAACTTAAACCTCAGTATTGAGGTTTAATTGCCGTGTTGGCACTTTGAGGAAAAAAAAGTTGGCATGTATTGCAGTTTGGGCACTCGGGCTCAAAAAAGGTTTGTCATCACTGGCCTATACTATAGAGCCTCTTCACTAATGCATGTAATACGTATGTATTTAGACAATTATAAATCACAAGGATGGTATGAGATAAAAGCGGACAGTATTAAATCACCTTTTAACCTGATCAACTACCTATGGCCAGTTAAATGTGTGAAGAAGTATCATCTTAATGGGGTAGAAATTTTAATATTACAAAACTTGTTGACTTTTTTTAAATCATTTTAAAAGAGAGGTACACTTAAATAATACAATTTTACCAGCTCTCCCGATTACTCATCTGATGAATATGATAGAGAATCTGGATTTGTCAGTATGGGCACAGAAGGGCATTACTAAAACGTCTGTTATGGAATCAATCAGGTCTTAAAACCTTTAAATCAGGTCTTAAAACACTCCTTCAATATACCACAGCAGGAAATATTTAATTATATTAGAATTAGTTGTTTTTTAAAGACATTAACATATAGGAAAACTTCAAATGAAACAGTGGATAAATTAAACAATATTATTCAATTTGGAAAAGATAAAAAATTACTTTTAAAATGGATTGGTATATTACAAGCAAATAAAGGAAATGTCATCCCTAAAGCAAAACATAAATGGACAAGAGATATAAAAAAAAGAGAGAGAGACATCACAGAGTGGTACGCCGCATTACAAACAGTATATTCATCAGCCCACTGTCTTAACCTAATGGAGACCCACTGCAAGATCGTAAATAGGTGGCATTTAACACCACAAAAATGTAATAAATAAGATGCACCCTCAAGATAAAAGCCTTTGTTGGAGATGTGGTTTGAGCAATGCTGATGAACTACATATATGATGGAATTGTTCTTTAACCCCTTAGAGACCAGACAATATTTCAAATGCCCAATGTTAACATGTTCTTAACTTTTTTTGGAAATTTATAGGGCTATAAGTACAAGTAGCACTTTGCTATTTCCAAACCATTTTTTTTTCAAAATTAACGCAAGATATGTAACATTGTTATCTGTCAGGAATCCCTGAATAACCCTTCACATGTATATATTTTTTAAAAGAAGGCACCCTAAGGTATTAAACTTGGGGTATTTTGACTCTTTTCATGCAATTATTTTACCACCAATCAATGCCAAATTTAAAAAAATAAAATAAAAATAGCGGTCCAAAGGAGCAATCGTATGCTGTAAGAGCTCGGTGATCGGAAAAGGCCTAACAAGCGACTAAAACAGCAACGAAAGGAACCACATCAACCCAATAAGGGTGCTCAAGTCAGGAGGAAACCTCCTATTCCAACTGGCACCCTCTAAGCCCAATGAGCTGCGGTCAAAACAAGATGGTGGCAGCTCCCATTCACCTACGCACACCTCAGTCGGGGGTCAGACACTGACACGAAACAAGCACCCTCAGGGGACCTCTCAGTGTGGGAGAGGCGGCTGGCAGCCATGCTCCAGGAAGTGCACACATCAATGAAAGCTGACTTCCAAACAGTGATCACTGACATCCGCAACGAAATGCTGGAAGTGGGAACACGTGTGGTCACTCTGGAAGAGAAGGAAGATGAACTCTGTCTGGCTAATTATGAAATGATGGAGAAAATCTGTAGAATGGAAGCAGACCAAAAACACCTTATGGAAAAAATTGCAGATCTGGAGGACCGCTCCCGCCACAACAACATCTGTGTGCGTGGGTGCCTGAGACAATACCAAATGAGGAGCTGCCGAATTACTTGCAACAGCTCTTTTGAGTAATACAACCTTCCCTGGAACCTGCAAACCTCCGCATGGACAGGGCACACCAAGTGCAAAAAAACAAATACCTAGCGCAAGATGTGCCAAGGGACATAGCAATCAGACTCCATTATTACAGCTCCATAGAAGCCATATTGACGGCACAAAGGAAAGCCTCAATGATGCCACCTTCCTTCAAAGGAATATCCCTTTACGCTGACTTATCACCAACGACAATGTCCAGAAGAAGGGACTTTATTAATGTTACTAAGTGACTCCACAACTACAAAATACCTTACAGGTGGGGATTCCCCACAAAACTCCTGATCTGGCGAAATGGCTCCCTCACAAAGCTTGGAGACCCGGCCCACGGCATGGACAAGATCAGAGCCTGGGGACTGTTTCCTGTGAAGCAGACGGCTGTCGCCACAGCCTCCCCGATGAGAGTGGATCAGGAATGGACCAAAGTCCAGTAACAAAAGAAATCCCGAAAGCTCACACTGCTACCCCATCCTGGACTGATCTAAAGAATTTGTGCGTCCTCCGGAGCCCCATATGATGATGATCAACCTCCGTGGAAATAAGGGCACAAGGGGCTTATGGCCCCCACGTAAGTACACGTAAACGCCACACAGACTCATTCACTTAGACTTACATGGCGCCTCTCCCCGACTCTCTGGCCACCCTGCCCCTGAGCTTAAATACCCCTCTACAGCCATCATACAATCTCTCCCCCTGACTGGAGTGCTGGGGCAGATGGGGCACGGTTGCCTAAAAAAAACAGTTTACTCTCCTGTTGTGAACAGAGGACTTACTGCCTAGACATCGAGCAGGCCCTGTTGGCATCCATCCTACAAGGACATATCCATACAGTTATATAGGCCACCACCAAATACCAGTTACCCCCCCACACAAATCTCGAGACATCTGCCATCTGTGTTGCCCCCCCCGTGCAGTGGAGGGAGTGCGCTCGGTGGCTGGTCTCCACACAATTCTCTCTAGCTTTTTGATATGTATATACTTTGGTTCTGTTAACTATTTTCGTTTCTATTGTTGTACAATCTGTTATACCCCTTGCCTTCTGATCCCTCTGAGATGCTCTCCACTTGGGCATACCGGCAAACCTAGAGATTAAATTCCACATCCATAATGTGGAGAGGGAGTTGGGAAGGGTGCTGCCACCTGGGAATGCTCCAGGGTCCCCCCGGCCTTAGTAAGATGGCTCCCCCTCAGAGATTTAACATGGTGTCCCTCAACGCCCATGGATTAAACACCCCATGGAAGCCATATTGACGGCACAAAGGAAAGCCTCAATGATGCCACCTTCCTTCAAAGGAATATCACCTTCCTTCAAAGGAATATCCCTTTACGCTGAGGGAGTTGGGAAGGGTGCTGCCACCTGGGAATGCTCCAGGGTCCCCCCGGCCTTAGTAAGATGGCTCCCCCTCAGAGACTGGCCCTCTCCCAGTTATACGCATTGCACGCCTCAGGGTCCTGCATACAGGAGACCCACTTCTCTGTCAAAAATCCCCCCAGATTCTCCTCAGCCACCTATCCAATGACATACCATGCCCTAGCACCTAACAAAACGAGAAGTGTTAGTATATTGTTTCACTCTGACTGGTATTTTATATTTGCAGAAGAGTATAAGAGCACTGATGGCAGATTCTTAATTCTGGTGGGTTTGCTTAATGACACCCAGGTGACCATAGCAAACCTGTATGCCCCCAATACCAACCAATACGAATTTATTAGAAAATCATTGAAAAAACTTGACAGACTAAAAGAAGGACAAACGTTTCTATGCGAAAATTTCAATTGTGTGTTGGACCCTGACCTTGACAGATCCGGAGTCCAAGGCTCCCACTCCTGATCCACTTGCCTGGGTGACAAGCTATCAGCCCTCTTCCAACTCCACGGCCTACACGATACTTGGCGATCACTCTATCCAGCCACTAGAGACTACACATTTTACTCTTAAGTCTACGACCAATTTTCCAGTATAGATATGTGCCTGGTGGATGTGAAAACCCTAGATGCACTAGATAAGGTTATCATTGCCCCATAACCTGGCCCGATCATGCCCCCATCTGGTCCTCACTCAACACACTTCATCCAGTTAGGGGACGGGGAAGGTGGCGACTCAACGAGTCCCTTATAGAACATACCGAACAGGCAGCAAAGATGAGGAGATCACTAGCAAATTATTTTGTGGATAGCCAGTACACCTACACAACCATAACCACGACACTATGTTGTCAACTCTTAGAAAAAAAGCACCTCACTTCTCAATGAATTAAAGTTGGCCGAAGACAAACACAAGGCCTCAGCCGCTGAGCCAAATAGACAGGCAGTACACAACATTAGGACCACACTGGAAGCCCTAGAGCTGCAACAAGTTGATAGAGCAATCCAAAAACTAAAAACTGATTACTATAGGCACTAGTAAAAAAGGCCACATGCTGCTTAAACCATGTGGAGGCAACCTATAAGCTATGGATCAGATGGTACTTCACACCCCAGAAATTAGCCAACATTTACCCAGGGGCACACCAAACGTGCTGGCGCTGCTGCCAACACGTGGGCACCTTGAGCCACATATTCTGGCAATGTCCTGCACTCAACTCCTACTGGAAGAAGTTCCAAGGGCTGGTAGAATCAAAACTGAAAAAATCCTACCACTACTACCAGAATCCTACCTGCTCCATATGCTACCTAAAGGGTTTACGCAATATGAAGCAGCTTTGATCGCCCATATCACACTAGCTGCAAAAACCTACATAGCCGCCCTATGGAAAGCAACCACCACACCAGATGTAGCGCTAGTTATTGGCAGAGTAAATCACACACAACAATCTGAAAAAATGTCACACACAATCAGTGGAACCCTAGCACACTACGACCAAATCTAGTCCAAATGGGCGGAGAATGCTACTCTAGCCCGAAAGGTCCCCTAGGAATAGAACCACCCTCTGACTGCTACCAAACCATAGAAAAGGAGGCCTACCACATACCACACCCAACCCACCCAAGCCAACAACGACATAGTTGGCGTTGATGATGAAGACACCCGTGCACTGCACTGCTTAATTGAAAATGATGTAGCAGAGCAGCATCTCGTATACCCCCCCAGTAAGACCTCCGAACCCTTTTTTCCCAAAAAGGCTTATCTGTTATACCTTGTAAGACCCACTAATAGAGGTGACTAGCACAGCAGATGGTTTACCCCCATACTTTCTAAAAAGATGGAATACAAATATAGCTACCAAACCTGACCACTCAAAACAGATTACCACCTCATGAGTCCCTAATGGCTCCAAAGGACTGAACAGAAATACCATGGGGGACTTCCTTGCACCACACTGATATCCTGTGTTTTGACACCTCTTCAAGATCTGTATTTCGCTTCTGACAACTTATCATCTCTAGAAGTGATTTAAACTGTATACACCGCTGTACCAATTTTAAGCTGTCCAAATGTTAAATTGTACAATTTTCAATGTGTTTATTTCAAAATGTTTATTATTGAAATAAACACACCTCGAAATCAACTCACCTCGAAATCAAAATGAAACATTTGAAAAAAAATAATAATTGGTGATTTTTTTGACATACATAGCAATTAAAGAATGTACGGAGAACTTTAAGGGTTACTGTCAAAGAACACCCCAATACGTGTTCAGCAGCATCTCCTGAGTACAGTGATACTCCCCAGGTATTGGTGTGTCAGGTTCTCTGGGGCTAAAATACCTTATTTGGAGGGTGCATATTCTAGTTTTCCAACTTGGAATTTTCACAGCTGGTCATCATGCACCCATGTCCTATTATGGATATTTTTAAAGCCGGCCAATGTAATTTACCCCATCAAACCATATATTTTTTTTAAATTAGTCATGCTAGAGTATTTCAAATGGTGGTATTTTAACACTTTCCATGCTCTAATTCTACCACCAGTCTTTGTTAAACTTTTGAGTAGTCATTTTTTGTGTGTTATTTTTCTCTCACATTGTACTTTAGGCATGGATTCTCAGTCCCTGTTATACGTTACTGACAAATAACACCCCAATACGTGTTCCGCAGCATCTCCTGAGTACAGTGATACTCCCCATGTATAGGTGTGTCAGGTTCTCTGGAAGCTACAAGACCTTATTTGGAGGGTGCGCATTCCTGTTTTCCAGCTTGGAATTTTCACAGCTGGTCATCGTGCCCTACTTGGGACATTTTTGCCAGACAATGTAATTTACCCCCATCAATATTTTTGAAAAGTAGTCACGCTAGGGTATTTCAAAAGGAGGTATTTTAACACTTTCCATGCTCTAATTCTACCACCAATCTTTGTGAGAGAAAAATAACACAAAAAAAGTACTACTCAAAAGTTTAATAAAGACTGGTGGTAGAATTAGAGCATGGAAAGTGTTAAAATACACTAATTTCCCCCCAGAGTTAGGGAATGAATGGTAGTATGAATGAGTTATTAATGTTAGCGTTGTCATTGTCTTCTAAATAATAAGACATTGAGAGAATGAAAAAATTATATATAAGATGAATTTCTCCATGATATAATATTTTATATTACACATATTATGTAAATGTATTGTATTGTAATGTTTTGTATTCGTAATAAAAACATTTAAAAAAATAATCTATCTTTGCCCTGCGAGGGCTTGGTGCAGGCCTTATAAGGGCTTTTCACTCTATGCTATTTAAGTGCAGTGAATTTAATTTTGCGTGGATGCTATTACCTGCTGGCAACAGGTGGGGGCAGGGGGTGTAGCGTTATATGCTCACCTACACATTTTTTAATTTAAAGTCCCCCACCTGATGCCCATGGTTGGGGGCACGGCAAGACTATGTCTTTTCTGTTTTTTTTTTATAAACCCCATACTGATTTCATGCTTGTGTCTATTTTCTCCCACTTTGCCACATTTTTATGTTAAGTATCATACCCTAACCATTACACATCTTTCTTTTTGGAAAGCACAAAGATTGTCTGCCCATTGTACAGGGAGTGACAATGATGTGCCTTTACGATAAACATAAAATATCAGTTTTTGCTTCTGAAAATTAAATAAGAAAAATGATTCAAAAAGAGACAGAAGTTGCAAAGTGAAAAAGTCACTCACAAGAGAATAAATAGGCACAAATTTCACAGAAAAACCAAAGTAAATACTTTAATATATCTCCCAGTGGATCTGGCAGCCCTGTATTTACACGTTAATGAGGTTAAACCCGGTACAGCTGTGTTCAGGGAGGGGTGCTGACTATAAAGCTAATGCACTGAGGGTGTTGACCTTGTATAGACATATCTGGAGACCTTTCCTGATCTACAGAAACATTTCTGCTGGGAGTGTGGAGATTTGGGGGCTTGTTTTCTGATCTCTCTGTGATAATGGATACGCCAGGTAAGTGATCCCTGTATATAGGAAGCCACCCTGCAGGGCTGTATATTTAGGGTTACCAGATCCACCATGTTTACAGGGATTCATATCACATTAACATATTGGTGGGCAGCACATGAAAAGTATGTAGAATTCAGAAAGTGTGTAAGACGAAGTAACAGGACAATGAAGAATCTTGTAGAATATAATGCAGGGCAACCCTATTCATGCATTTTCACTTGTGTAAAAACATGGTGGATCTGGTAACCCTATCTCTATATTGAGGATTATTATTTCATCCAATATATAACTGATGTCTAGAGATCACTGTATCTCAAACACTCCTTTGCTGCCACAAAATAAATCACAAATTAGTAGATATATCCAATTAATACCTGCTTGCTTCTTATACTGGGGTATATCTAAGTAGTCTGTAAAAGCTACAGATTACTAGTCTTCAGCCTTTGCAATCCCTCCCTTTCTTGCCCCGCCCAGGCTTTCTGTGACTGTCCAATCAGATTATCCAATGCAGCTCAATGAGAAGTCTTCATATGGCCGGTGCTCTGGGTAAATGCTGCCTCTTGAGCTTAGCTCCTGTGTTCCTAACCAAACCAGGAAGTAACCAGTCTGATTGCCAGGGTGTGTAACAAGGTTAATTTATGAAACCTGCACTTCTTGTAAAATGAACAAGCACCCTCCTCACACATGGTGCTTTGGGTTCTGGAGAGTCATACTAATTACTCCTATATTAAGGTATAGCACTCCTAGTTCAGCATCTGATATAATATTGTTTACATATATAATATGTATTGCACACTCCACCTGGCAGACCAACTGTAGAGAATACTGATACTTCATGCTATGGAATACTGGGGAATCAAGTGAACTTAAATGTTGGTGTTCCATTATGCTGTACCTTGTGCTGTCTCTATGTGACAGGTTTAAAGGCACACTCCAGAATGACTAAGTGAACTGTGTAACTCTACTGGAGACCCACCATAATCTTATCTGGAGCTGGAAAGCATTACGCAAAGCCTGGTGGCACAGGGAGGCACTTATTGGCTCAGTTGATGCGCTCATGCCTCTGCTTAGTGGAGCTAATGAAAGATACATGGAGGATGCCAGGGCACTCTTGGCACCATAACTACTACAGCAGACTATAGTGTTTGGAGTGTTCATTTTAACTTTTTATATAAAAAAAAAAATACTGCCAGAGTATATTCAAGCTATATTCGCAATAACAGACTTCCATTTTATATCTTTAGTGAGGTGTGTGTAGATGTATGATGTGGCAAGACTTTCAATATCAACCTAACTGGACTTGCTGTGCTGCCTGTCCTTTAAGACAAACTGCTACAACCAAATCCACCATGATATCTATAGTAGTTGGTGTCTCTACCAGATGAAACCAACTTGTTGCCATTTTAAACTTCTCTTAATGTCCCAGTGACCAAATCTGACCCAGCTTTCTATAAACATATGAAATGTAGGGGTTTGTAGCGTATGTCTATTGACCTCTGGTTTGAAGATATAATCTATAAAAAAAAAAAGCCACTGCTGGCACTCACCACAACAATTAAACTCTAAAACAAAACCCTAGCTTCTTGCGAAATTGGAAGTGCTTAAACTTTTTTTTTATTTTTTATTTATTTTTTTTGGATCAGCAGCAAAAACCAAATGTGAGTAAGGCTGAGCTTGATGGACACAAGTCTCTTTTCAGCTATGTAACCATTCTCTAGATAGACCTAACCTACATTAATGAAAGGCACAATATAGTTATGGCCCTACATTAAGCATAGACCATCTCTCAGCTACCACCTTATAACATAATGATGGCAAATGAATTGTTTTACCTATGCAATGATTAGTAATATATTGTTAGTCATGTCCTGCTTTATACTTCTGTGTTATTACTAGCTAGAAGTGTATACTATATATAGGGCTTGGAAGAATGACTGGTCAGTAAACCTGATTATAGTAAGATACTCATGCTTTGAAAGGGTTAAACGTGCATTCTTTAAACATACTATATATTTTTCTGTTGAGAGCCTGACACTAGGTTCCACTATCTTGTATAAACATCCTGCCATTGGAAAACATTCTTTCTAACCACCTGCAAATTAACTGAGTTACTAAATTACTGTCATCTACATCAGTTAGAAAAGATGCTCTAGACATGTGCCGTAGGTCAACTGTAATACATAATGTTATGAGAAAATTGAACAGCTTACTCTAAAAATGCTATGATTGATTTGTCTTTTTGCACACACCCCTATGAAAACTGTTCATATATACCAGGGGTTCTCAACCTGGTCCTCAATGACCACTGAACTGTCCAGGATTTAGGGATTACCCTGCTGTGTCGTGTGTTTTTTTTTTTTTTTTAAGGGTGGGGGAACAAACACTTTAGACACAACAGGGTAATCCCTAAATGCTGGACTGGTAGGGGGTCCTTGAGGACTGGGTTGAGAACCCCTGATATAAAGGCTGTACCCACACTAAAGCCACTAATATTCTGGAACTTCATAATGACTGTTGTACTTTAATTGTTCTCTGCCGTGAATATACATAAAAGGATTAAGGAAAGCAGGGTGTTAACAGCATAAGTCCATGGCAGCATAATGGTTACAGATCCTGTAAATGTTGCAGCCCAACACATAATTAGCCTTAAATAGAAAGGGAGATGTCTAGGTAACCTAAAATATAGATGACTTGACTATAGTAACAATCTTGCATTCAAACGTCAATGACTTGACCATTCATCTACTCTATAAATACTTGGCGCACAGGTCTCCACAATTGCCCTCCTAGTTGCACTTTATGTAGATTTGTCAGTCTAGTAGTTTATCAAAGCTAATCTGACTATAGACATTAGTTCAGGTGTGGTACCTCCCAAACCTGCACCACTAACCCAGTATCTGTACAGAGGGGATATGTTGAGCTTGTAACTTTATTTACAATATCTGTACAGAGATGTGTGAATTGTGCCCTTTGCTACTTGCACGATTATCTGGGCCCCTTACCACTGATTTCTGACTCCAACTCTGGTTGTAGCATGAGCATCAATGCTAATTATAATTGTTAATCTGCCTGAGACATGTTCTGGATGTAACCTATTGACCTTCATTAACTTGTTGGTTCGTATGGAGGTAATTCTAAGAAATGGCTCAGACTGTAAAATATCTATTTCTCTTTGAATTCCAGATACCATCCTGTTTGCTGTGACCCATAAACCCAAAATTGCTCGCGTTGGATTACCCCCCCATCATGTCGACGATAACTTTAATGCCAGATCTCTTGTTATAGGGAAAATGTATGATGCCACTAAAATTACATTTAGCCCTGAGGGGGATTTGTTTGCGGTCCGTGGTCCTAACCTGTTCAGAGGACCCATGCCTTCAGATCCAAAAAAGGACTGGTTCCCCACTGCTAAAATGGTTGGTACAGTCGACTGGAACAAATTTAAATTCCTCTTCTTCTTTGATCCCAATGGACTCCTGTATGCTGTGACAAAGAATGGGGAGTTCTACAAGGGTCCGGCCCCTGACAATGAAAACATGTCCTGGCTCTATCGCCAAGCCACCAAAATCGGACAAGGTACATGGGATACATTTCATGCACTCTTCTTTGACAACAAAGGGATTTTGTATGCTGTAACCAATAATGGTACTCTTGTAATGAGAAGCCCTCCGACCAGAGTGGGTGATGACTGGCTTGGAACAAGCACAACCATTGGAATTGGAGACTGGCGCCCTCTATGCCATTTCATAGATTTCAGTCCTGATGACTACCTGTGGTGTGTGAATAAAAACAATGGTAAGATTTACAAAGGTCTCCCTCCAACTGCTGCAGATCCTGGCTCCTACCTGAAAAATGCAGAGTATCTTGGCTATAACTACAACACGTACCGCTTCCTTGCCTTTTCCATTGATAAAACAATTCAGAGCATTGGGAGTTTTGAATTCCTGCCAGATTCAGGTGAAATCCTATCCCAAGGCATAGAGGTCTTGCAGAGCCAAATATACACCAACACAAGCAGCTCTACATTAAAGCACAGCTTCTCGTAAGTATAACTGAAAGCCAAATTAACTTCGGCTCAAATCTTTCAACTATTAATTCAATACCCTCCCCTTCCCAACTTTTGCTGTGTACATATGATCACACAACACTGACCTAACCATTATTTACTAGCCCTAAAATTTCAACTTTGAGTCACTCGTGGCTGTGTTGGTCATACTTTATCAGGCTAACTATAAGCCATGTCTTAATGAATAACCTTGCTATTCTCCAAGTTTCTAACTCGTTACTGCCTGAACAAGTCTTATGAAATCCTAACTTTTTTTTTTCTATTAGGTTTTCCAAAACTCTTACAGAGACCAGTACCTTCACCCAGGAACATGGTTTCACAGTGTCTTATGGGTCTGAGACCACCTTTTCAGCTGGAATCCCCTTTATCTCCAAAACAGAAACAAAGATTTCAGTCAACACAAGCACAACTCACACCTGGAGCTTGACCAAGACAAATACAACTGAGGTAAATAAAACTGTTAGTGTTAAAATGAATGGTAATGCAATGTATTGCATGAATCCAATTTACCCTTCTAAGGCGTAATGTCATTGTTTTGTTCATTATGGCTTTAATGGATTGTTTCAGTAGTATGTATCAAATTATATTTGGTTATTTAATTAAAAGTGAACTTGAATTGTATGCTGAGTTATAAATCCCTTAGTAAGCTAGTATGAGTTCCAACACTTCAGCCAACGTCACACTCAATTTGAATTGAACATGCAAGATTGACTCACTCCCAGAATGGAGCATGGTGTTGGTTTTTACATGAAAATCTCACTAGGGTTCAAGGTAGAGGAAAGACAATAGAATAGAATGAGTCACTTTAAAATGCATAACCTTTATCTATAGATATACTACATGCACTCTAGTCACTTATCTGTAGAGAAACAAAGATCAAGGATAGGGCCCTATCCCAAATTACAGGGTAAGAAACAGATTCTCAGAAAATGCTGAGGAGATATGTAGGTTTTTTTTTTTTTTTTTTAAATGCTCACCCTAAAATGGAGGGGAGACATATCCAGGCAGCTTATTTTAAACCAGGAAGTGGAGACAATGTTTCGGCTTCCTGGCTTCAAATAAAGACAGCCATTTTAGTAACTAATTCTGAAGAGGATTCGTTTGGCTGTTAAGGTGGGTCTGCCTTGACAGGACAGGTTTTGGTCAGGCACAATTCTCTATGAACTAGTTTATGAACCACATGGGAAAGATGCTAACTGCAGGTCCAGTGGAAAGGTCCTATTTAGGCAGGGGGTGTAGTCTAGCAAAATGTATTTAGCATGGGGCAGAATCACCAGTCATGCAGTTGCATACCAAGAGCTCCAAAGACACATTAAGGATCTACTCAGATCACCTATTTCAGAGGCATTTTATAATTGCCAAACAGAGGCCCTGACCAGCTAGTATTCAGCAGTAAGGACTTAAAAAATTTAAAATGGATAAAAACCTAATAAACTGACACTCCCATATAAGTAACAATATATACAATTGACAATATAGTGGGTGTATAAAAAAGTAGATACAATAATTTGAATACCTAATATAGACAATTTTCTAAATGTTCCTGACTGCTGCCTCAGAGCCAAACTTTTGGTAGTTCATGTAAATTAGGTTTACGGGGAGGGTTAGCATTAACTCTTTTAACCCGAACTCTGCTGTCCCGACATGTGCAGTATTCACCAGCTCATACGCTGGTGACCTGGCATTCCAGCATGTGAGCCATCTTCTGATGATCATAGTTATCGTGCTCAGCAGCTGGCCAAGCCCAGCAATGATCCATGTTGGCAGGGAGACACTGTCCATCTGTTAAGGGACAATCTGAGACTCTGTAGCAGAGCATGATTGCTCTTCTGCAGTGACTTGACTAGCTACATGCATATCTCAGTTTGTTTGCTGCACACAGCCTGTTAGTTAGGGGCCACTAAATGTCAACTGATACCAGTCTAGATTTAACCCTGCTCACTCCAGAACTGCAGGACATTCCATACATTCTAATGGTGCTATAGTCTACTATTCTGCAGGACAGCATGAAATGTCCTAACATAGTGAAGGGGTTAACCTTAATCTGTGGAATTTTTTTTTTATTTCCAACTGCAAGCTAACTGTATAATCTCTCCAGGTGCAAAACTTCTCACATGAAAATGTAGCAAGGTGCCTAGTAATGGCTTTCACGACCCATGATAAACCTCCAAACCAAAATACACATGTATACACTTGGACCCTGATCTTTAGATACTGAATAATCTCTTCAGTAACTGGCAACACATTTAACAATCCAGGTCAGAGTTTCCCTTTCTTAAATCTGGTATGACATGATGCAGATCAATCAACATATTGTTCCACATTAATTTGAGGATTATGCAAGAGGCATAACTCCATGTTAATGCCAGACAAGTAATGATTACATCTGTATTTTCTTATTTCTTGACAGACCACTTTCTCCTCCAGCACGGATGTGGAGGTTCCAGCTGGCCGCAATATACGCATGGTAGCCACTGTTCTAAAGGGAGAAATGAATGTTCCATACCGAGCCAAAATCCAAACCTTGTTTGGCTATGAAACCATCATTCAGGGAATGTGGAAAGGAGTCACTCACTACAACCTGACTGTTTCACAAGAGGACTATAAACCATGATATGGGCAGATGTTCTGCCACTAATGTAACCCTCTCTGTATAATGGGTAGATTCAGTCCTCACATGGACGAAGCTGTGATGTCCACTACATTGTGGGTCAAGTCAAATGTCTCAATGACCTGTCTTCTGTAAATGTTATCCAATTAAAAATCTAGCATTATTAGCGTGTGTTGATCTGTTTTCTACAATAAGCAATAACCCACTCCAAGTGGGTGGACTACATAGTCCCTGTCTGAGGCAAGAAGGATCTGGCATGAGTCTTGTTTTGGCTGGTGTATTAATTATGGTAAGGACTCACTAAAATGTGAGACCCTGGTGTTAAAGAAACATACTATTTCACAATATCTCAATATGATTCATTCTTATAATGAGCTCTCTGACTAGACTGCAGTACCAGGTGCTATACCTTGTAAATGCATGTTGGTGTAATGAGTTTTCTAAGCCGCTCATATCCACTCTGCCTACAAAAGGGATTAGCAAACCAGGGATATTCGTAAAAGACCAAATAAAGCAAAATAGTCAGCATTCTGTTGAAACAAGCACACTTGCAGCAATCTCCCAGATGAATTTGGGGTCTCATAAAACTGGTGCTTTCACATATATTTTGTATAGGATACTCAAAGCTCTGTAGAGTATTTTTATTTTATATATTTGTGTACAGCACATTTAGAGGATGTATGGTAGAGGTGTGCTGACACTGATGTTCACTTAGACCTGTAAAAGCAAATGAACCCTGGGGAAAAGAATTAAAGGAATAAAACTAGGCAAGTTTTTTTTTTACAAACTCCAAATCATTACCCCCTCTGACTTACACCCCAGACTGTCACCTAAAGATTATGATTTAGGTCCTATCCTTGCTGTAATAGTTAGAACTCCCCAAGCAGGGACAAGGAGTACCCACTGCTCCTCTGAAGGTCCCGTAAGGGTGTCCAAACCAGGTATAAGAAAGATGTGATTAAGGGAATGTCAAAGGGACAAGTTAAGGTGATGAAGAGAAAGAAATAGAGGCTAATTAAGAGGGGCTCCAAATTCTAGAACTTAACTCAATGCATTCATGATTAAGTTGATGACTTTCTATACTGTAAGCCCACTACACTTCCCATGAGAGTGGGATGTTTGCATGACAAGGCCTGTACTTTCATACTGGGGCAAGTAACTTCATTAGTTGAAAACATCAACCACATTCTTTCTGCCCTGTTTGTTGCAGAGGATCCATACTGTAAATATAATTGTTTATAAATTAGAGAGCAACATTTACATTTTCAGTGGTCCGACACTTGCTTCATTTTGTACTGTAAGCTTACTTATGCTTGCTACAGGTACTTGAAATGATCCAGTGCATCACCTGCTGCATGTGCTTTATGATTCTGTACTGCTTTAAGGAAATACTCCCTATTATGACAAATAGGTCTTGCGTATGTGTTCTGTTAAATTGTGAAAATCTATAAAATTGCTGTATGGGGATGCTGAGACTTTCTTTGTGACCACAACTGTAGACTCCCTGTGTGTTCGGTTTGAGGTTTGGTCAGGTATGTAGCCTGGATCAGAAAACCATGGACAAAAGTTTTTTTTTTTTTTTTTTACCTGAGTTGTTATGGCTTTGGGCAACTTGACCGGTCAAAAAGTTAGCAATGTCTTAACATGGTATAGTATAAAAATGTTGCATCTTTGATAGTTCTGACAAATGCAGGTAATACCATGTCTGTGTAATCTGGTCCAAAATGTTCTATAAGATAAGAGACAAATTCTATTGACAGGGTATATATGTTGCAATTAGTTAATGCAAGTGTCATACAAATATCTAAGTCAAGCGCGGTGTATATAAAGGGATCCATTCTTTATAAACAATACTATGGTAGATTAATAAGGTAATACATATACTTAAGAAACCCTTAAATAACTCTGATACAAACTAAAATTGTGTAAATGATGACCGATGTGTTTTGGATACCCATTTTGAGGTGTGTAGATTAATTTGGTCTTTTGCTATGTTTAAAATTATATTTGATACAGTTGGTCTCCGTATTGATAGAAATGGCAGAGTAATGATCTATTAAATGACTGACTTATTGTTTAATACTAGCATTTTGTCCAAGAGCAGTGAGAGTTGGTGTAGTTCTTATAACTTGTAGAGGCTCTGTTTTGTAAGCTCTGGCTGATCTTCAAAACAAATTTAGTTGCAATAGTCGACTTCTTGCCAAATTTCAACTTTCCTGTCCATTTGCCAAGTTCTCTGATCTATATTTAATGCGGATTGTCTGTTTCTGTAGAAGTCAAATAGTTTGCAGAAATGTTCATTATTTTTACAGGGCTTCTTATACATGGGTATGAGAATGGAGTTTTGGAAGTCTTTAAGACTAATCTAACTGTGTTTCTTCTGAAGGACACAGAGTGTGACATTTACTTATTTTGTTAAAAAAATTTGGATTGGTTATGGTTTAGCTGCCTGTCCATGAATATGCTTTTTGTATTGGCATATCTGCTGGATATTGGTGTTATGTGTTAATGTCCATTGCATAGGAGTTTAAATATTAAAGTAAAAAATATTGTCATTAACGCAAGCCTTTAGTTTTTTTTTTTTTTTTACACAACAGATTAAAATGCTGATCAGACGACAAGGGGCCCCTGGAAAAACATCTTCCTTTTCAAATCATGGATCCACGTTTGCATTTTTAAATGGCTCTCCCTCAGTACTATTGGGGGTGTAGTTTCCAGCTTAGAGTTGACTCTACTTTTAAAGTGCATTGATTAAAGGAAAGAAGTGGAATGTTATGCAATGGCCAAGTCATTCACCTGACCTGAATCCGATTTGAGCATGCATTTCACTTGATGAAGACAAAACTGAAGGGAAAATGCCCCAAGAACAAGCAGGAACTGAAGACAGTTAAGAGGCATGGCAGAGCATCACCAGGGATGAAACCCAGCATCTGGTGATGTCTATGCGTTCCAAACTTCAGGCTGTAATTGACTGCAAAGTATTTGCAATCATGTATTAAAGTGAACAACAATATGATAAAACTTAGTAGATATACACCAAACAAATTCGGTAGAGTATCTTTCTAAGATTAAAAATAAAGATTAGATACGGCTACCATAACCACTGTATCACTAGTATAAAATAACCACCACCAGGGGTTAAGCAATCAAAATAAAACACACTAATTGAAAAAATCAATTAAAAATACATAGGATTTAGTGGAAATGGAAATGTGTAGAGCACTTCACAATAAATGAATGTTAATGTTTGCTCTCTTATTCGAATACAAATGTATCAGCTGGTCCTGTCATCACCACCTATTAGATAAGGAAGGCAGAGTCTATGGACTGCTGAAATTAATCTAATATAAGTTCCAATAAGTTATGAATCCAATATATATGGCTAGTAAATATGTGTAAAAAGTTAGAATCAAGCCCCTCCAAGGGTTAAAATCCACTGCAGCAGACAGATACTTTTTAAAGTTTATTGAATGATAAAAAATGCTACACACACATGTAGCTATTGATAAAAAAGGGGGTCCCAAACATGAGTTACAAAAAAGATAGCACCAGTACCAGGTTTAACAGACCTCGAGCCCAAAAGATCACTTTCTTGCCGGCCGGACAGAAGTGAATTGGATTTTCCTCGTGCTGTATGCTGCTGGTTTCTAGCCGCGTGCGTTCCACTGCGGCTCAGGATGCGTGTCAGAGGTGCTCACTCTCGGGACCGATGTGTATTGGTTTGCAGATGCCGCCTTACTAGTTTCGTGATTCTTGATCACTTCATCAGAGGATGGCATCATGGAGTCTGCAATCTTCTTTTTATACTTGTTCTGTCTGTCTTCATTAGTATCACGTTAACCCTTAAGTCTATGTACAATGTTGCAATTCATATCAGTATAAATAATATAAGAAGTTGACACATGATATATTGTTTGTTTTTAGCCACACATATATAATGGAAAACTAATAACCATAAAAAAAAAAAAGGGGAATTATACAAAGGCAATATAAAAGGGGACAATATAGAGAGGGGCAATATATAAAACAAGGAAAATATATAAAGGACAAACAACCAAATAACCAAATACTAAAGAAATTCTAACATATTATGTGGTATATTGGTTATTATAAATACATTATAAAATCTTATATTCCTTCACAAATACAACCCAAAAGCAGTGATCAATAGATTAAAAATTTCTTGCATAATAGAAATACTCTAAGGATGGGTTATGAATATATATAAATATAAAGTATAACAATTCAAAAAATTAATTAATAAAAATTAATTTATTAAAAAGTTAAAAATTTATAAAAATTTTAAAAATTAAAAAAAAAAAAAAAAAAATTTTTTTTAACAATTTAATTAATTTCATTGATTTATAAATCACCTGGAGAGAGAAGAGGAGAAAGATGAACACATTATTAATTGTAAAATTCATTTGTTATAGATACACACTGAAAAAAAAAAAAAAAATTAAGTAATTAAAGAAAAGCATTTAGTTCAAAATCAATATTTAAACCAAAGGGCTCTAAACTATTAAGTTGAAATATCCATTTAGCCTCACTTTTGTCAAGAGCTTTTTCGTAGTCTCCTCCCCTCCAATGCAAGTTCACTTTTTCAATAGCATAAAATTCTAAACCTGCTGGATTATTGGAGTGGCAACTTGCAAAATGTCTGGAGAGATTATGTGTAGTAAGTCCCTTTTTAATGTTGCGAATATGTTCTCCTAGTCTAATTTTAAACTTTCTTTTTGTCCGACCTATATAGTGTTTCTTACAGGGACATATTAGGAGGTAGATAACTCCAATGGTATTGCAACTTAGATCTGATTTTATTTCAAATTCTTCATCCCCTTTCATGTTTTCAAATTTCTTTGTTAGACCTGTTTGGGTTGGATTGTTTCTACAACCAGAGCATCTATTACATTTTCGAAATCCACCAGCTTTTTGATTATTGCTTGATAGTTTGATTTCTTTTATCGTTGGGGCTAATATGGTTTTGAGATTGGGCGCCTTTGAGTAGAAAATCTTTGGTCTATCATCTAATATCATACCCAGTGAACTATCTTCTTTAAGGATTCTCCAATGCTTATTCAGAATATGCTTTATTTTTCCTGCTTGATTGCTAAATTGTGTGATAAACGCTGGGGTTTCCGTCTCCATTTTCGATG